AATATGAGCAATGCTTCTTAACACTGTTTAAAACCTAGAGCATATTTTGCCTTGGAAAAATGTCGATCTGTTAGCAAAAGAGAAAGCTGAACGTAAGTCAGTAAGAGGAATACCCAGATGTTAGCTATTCTTTTTTTGTGATTTTTCCCCACACAAGCACAGGAATAAGAGGAAGTGAAAAAAATTCATTAAAAAGTAAGAGTTCACTTGAGAAGTGAACGAAATTGCAACAGGTCTGATAACATACATGATGCCACAGGACTGCTGAGGTAGGAGGGGGTGAAGAAAAGAGGAGGGTCTGAGAGCTGTTACTTTCCCTCTTTTCTCTCATTCTTCAGGTATGGTAAGGGCCACGATGAGACAATAAAACAAAGGGGGTATCAGTAATTGGGCTTTAGAGTAGAAGCTAAGGTTTCTATGAGAGATTGAGAAACATGGGCTATTAGAAACTTGGGAAAAGCGAACAATGCTGTTATTTCTAGCGGTACTGAGATACAAAACCTTCCCTCTATATTTGATACTACTATTTTCATTTTCCCCACTGAAATAATTTTAATGCAAACATGCCAGCCTGGAAGAAAGGAATCATCTTTGTAGGTGGTGCTATGCTATTCCATCTTACATTCAGCTTTATTTCTTTTCCCTGTCCCTAGTGTTTACTAAGGGTAGAGGCAATGGATAACAAAACTTTTAAGTTTTGTCACAGACAACTTAAGGAAATTTAATTCATAGTTACTTCATGTTCTTTCTCAAAATTCAGATCACCCAACAAAAATTAGTGATTAAAAATGCAAAATAAATAGAATCAAAACTTGTAATATTAAATGAGATTCTGTTTTAAAGGATGTGTAAATACCCCCTCCCCCAAATTGCACTGTCTTGTCTTTCTCTCCAAATTTGAGCAGATTGAATTCTCCATTGTCCTTCTGTATTTCCCCCTAGTTGGTCGTAGGCTGAGTGAATATTCATTCTTGCAGAAATTCACAGACACTTGCAAAACAAGACAAGTACCTGCCTCAGGAGAGAGAGCTGAGCATGTTACCTATGCTGACTTATTTCATCATTGTGCATAGCCCTGGGCACACCATGAAATCCTTGCTGCCAGTTACCAAAGACTCCTCTCTTCCCAGTGAAAGCCTTTATGCTGCCTTCAGAACTATTTACCTCTATGCTTACTCTCTTCACAGTTGAATTTTAAATGGATGATGCAGACTTCACTGTAGTTGCTTTGCATTGCTTTGCATTTAGTATTACCACGTATATCTTTTCTACATCAGCAAGCAGGTTCCTGGTGTTCTGTAGAGTTTCACTGAATGGTTGCCCTGTCTTTAATCAATGAATTACTTAAAACATTTAGCTTATTTTTTAATCTTTATGAACAATGTGTAATTAAATCCTTTTACAGAAATCTCTGTGTACTTGCTATTATACCAAGAGGATGCATTTTTAGAAGTGGAGTTCTTGGGTCAAGAGAATATGCTTTTACTTTTTTCCCCCAGATTCCAGGCCTGCTTTGTTAATAGATATTTCATATTGCAGTCTAATGTCCATACAGAAGAGTGCATAAATCATAATCCTATAGCTTGCTGAGCTTTCCCAAAGTGAACATATTTGTATAAGCTACCAGGCCAAGAATCAGAATATTACCAGAAACTAGAAGCCACTTCCATCCTTTTCTAATTACTATCCCCAAGGGTAACTGCTTTCTGATTTCTAAGGCTATAGATTAGTTTTGCCTCATTTTGAGCTTTATATAAACAGAATCATACAGTATATATTCTTGTTTCTGGCTTTTTCGTACATGTACTGAAAATATTTGATAGTGCAATGTAAAGTTTTCATTCCTTACATACTCTTGGCCTCTCAGTGTAATTGGACACCGCTGACCATCTCTGTTTTGATATTTTTCTCCTTTCTGTTCTATGACATCATCTCCTGGCTTTCTTCCTTCACTCAACCTTAAATCGTTGATGTCCTGAAGGAAGTCCCAGGCAACCTCAGCCAAATACATGGCTTCTGTTACCATTTATATTCCTATGACTCCTGGATTTAAACCTCTCTCACAGACCATTTCCCTGAGACTCAGATATCCAACTTGACCCCATCACTTAATAAGTCTCAAAATTCAACATCCCCAAACTGAGCAAACAATCCCTTCTGCTCCTATTTCAGTATTTCTTACCTCAGTGGAAAAATACCACCAGCCACAGGTTTCACAACATGGATACCTGGGCATCATTCTTGACATCTCTCTTTCAGTGTACCCTGCAGCCACGAAATCCTGACAGCGTTTCCCCCAAAATACCTCTGGTAATGGTGCTCTTCTCACCAACATCATTACCAGCATTTAAATCCAGGCTAAACTTGGATCATCTCTTGCGTAGACTATTGCAATAGCTTCCTGACTAATTTCCAAACAGATGAATACTCTGCTTCCAATGCTTCAACAGTTTGTATATTATACTGAAGAAGTTCCTTAAATCAGCATTAAGGACCTAGTCTCTTCCTGTTTCTCAAGCCCCTCTTTTCTCCCCTTTCTCCAGAAATTGCTCCACACATTCCTTAAAAGGGTCAGGAATTATATCCAACATGGTTATCTGGAAGATAAAAGTAAAAAAAAAATATAGGGAAATTTGATGGAAAAAAAAATTTCTTTCAAAATATGCAGTGCACTGTGGGGTGGTGGTGGTGGTGAAAAATTCAGAAAGCAATGAGATAAAGGAATAATTGCCCTCAAAGAGTTTCAAACTGCTTCAGAGGCCAATTAGCATAATGAGTAACAGTCCTGGCTTCAGAATCTGATGAAACCTGGTTCTGACCATGATGTGGCCACTTAAAATCTGCATAAGTTTTGGTGAGTCATATAACACGTCTGAGCCAGAATTCCCATGATAAGATAATTCCTATCTTTCATAAGGATTAAGCTACATATATCTACTCTTTGGCACAATGATCAGCACATAGTTAAACTTTAAATAAACTGTACGCATGTTATTATTAAGAATAGAGTAAGGCTATAATATTATTGCCATATACCAGGCAGGAATAGCCAAGTTTAATCAATGCTAAAAATAATGAGCATCCCTGGGACAGAAACTAGACCATATTCTCCCAAGAGCTTTATGGACTCTGATTACTTGGTGTTCTTCCCTCTGGAACCAAGGATAAGTTTCCAGGTAACCAGTAGTCAGGATGACCTAAGCATATACTCACTCCCAAGGAATCTTGTTTTTTTTTTTATTAAAATGATTCTCTCCATCAGTTTGTTTACTTCTCTCAGAATAAATACCTATGGGGCGCCTGGGTGACTCAGTCATTAAGCATCTGCCTTCGGCTCAGGTCATGATCCCTGGGGCCTGGGATGGAGCCCTGCATCGAGCCCGGCATCGGGCCCCGCATCAAGCCCCGCATCGAGCCTGGCATCGGGCTCCCTGCTTGGCGGGAGGCCTATTTCTCCGTCTCCCACTCCCCCTGTTTGTGTTGCCTCTCTTGCTGTCTCTCTTTCTGTCAAATAAATAAATAAAATCTTTAAGGAAAAAAAAAAGAAGAAATACCTAAAGTTGGATCTTCCCTTATCTTTGTAGTTGGGATTTTATGGCCTCTATTGGGATAAGAAAACAATATTTTCTCTATGGTTAAGTCAACTTTATACAAACTAGACCCATCAGACCATTGAGTCTGCACCTGCTTTTATTGCAAATGGAAGAACACAGCTGGTGATGCTTATCTCTTCCTTTGCAGTCCTTGAAAGATATATATACACAAAAGCAATGGAAGCCCAAATTTAAAAAAAAAAACAACTCAGGATAAAAGACTGATGAAAGTACTTACTTGATTATTTAAGCATTTAAATTTCCTTTACAAAAGGGATACATGATTTAGTGACAAAAAAATAGATTGAAATCAAAATGACAGCATTCTGGCTCAACGTCTAACACCTATTATCTATAGTATCTTGAAAAAGTCATTTATTTTCCCTGATCCTTAAATTTTTCATATGCAATGAAAGAATTAAAGTTTATTATCTTATCAGAATTCTGAGTTTATACATATGCATATATAAAATATGAAAGGAATGTATATATATGTGTGTATCTATGAAAACACATTTATATGTGCATCTGCATACCCACATTCACACTTATATATGTATCTTAGTTTCTTATGAGAAAGCAGGTTACAAACAGGTGATAGGTAAGGTCTAGTCCTATGCTGACATCATCTGCTTTTAGCATTTAAAATGCCTGTATTTTCATTCCTCCATCCAAGACCACTGAGCAGTGGGAACTTTTTAGAAATGGCAGTTCTCAGGTCTTACCCCAGACTTACTGAATCAGGGATTGTGGGGAAGAGGCTCCACCACCTGTGTTGCAATCTGCCCTCCAGGTGATTCAGAAGTGCACTAAAATGTGAGAACCACTGCATTCGAACATTCCCAGGGAAGAACGATAGGCTAGAGTTGTAAGCAGAAGTGGAAAACCAGTAATTAAAGGGGGAAAAGCAGGATGGTCTACAGAGAACCTGGATCAGAAAGGGTAGGAAGAGTTTAGAGAGACATCGCAGCAGGCACAGGGGAGTGTTATTTTTGTTAGTGGGGAGCTGGTGTGGCTGTGAAAACCCAGAGCAGAAGCCCAAGCAGCAATAAGAAAGTGGTAGCCACATGCTCACGTGTTAAGTCATTGTTCTCATGCAGTCATTTCTATAACTGGGCTGAGAACTGCTGGCTTTAGAACCTTTTTCCTGCAGCGGATCCCAAAGGAAGATAATTATCCTCTTCTCTGCAATTGCTGTCTCTGACCCCTAGTTATTTACTGTAGAACCCTGACGCAGGGAGAGTGAAGGCTTCTCAGGCTGATCCTACAGGTCTTCTCCAGGCCCCTTTCAACCCGAGATTCTTCTGATTCCAGTTGGAATATTCCCCTCATTGCCGGCCAAGGAGTGTATGTATGTTCAGGGAAAGGAAGAAAAATTCCTGGAGTTTCAATGCGCTAGAGGTAAACTTAGCCAGAGAAAGCTGCAGGGGTGAGAATAAGCCTATGAAAGCGACAAGGCAAGAACTCAGCGCGGACATTCTTCAGGAGGCTTATGGATGCCATGTTGTCATCCAGGACATTGCCCTGACAGGGGAATCCCCGGCTCCGCAACTTCCCGGCCAGTGTGAGGGCCACCAGCTGGCTATAGCCTTTCCTGCGATGCTCTGGCAGGGAATATCCATGGCACATGGTGGCAAACTGGTCTGTGAGAGACCAAGAGACCGGGTTTCCCTTGGCATCACGGACACATACACTGGGGAAGCAAGAGATGAGTTTCGCGATGTAACGGAGACACTGTTCATTGCCGCCCCGTGACCAAGTCCTGTTGAGTAGATCAGCATCAGCAACACTCAGGTAAGTTAGTCGTGGGGAAGAACCCTTTCTAGAAGAAAACAACGTGAGAAGAAATGTGAACTCGGGCTCATGTGACTACAAACAGCTACTTCTCTTTTTGCACTGATTCAAACTGAGAAACAATCCCAGGGATGTACTTAGCCAATACCAAAATATTTTCAATGAATTAGAATCTATCACTTCCCACTTATGAACATCTTTCAGGGTTTACATTTCTGATAGGACAAAATACTCATTATATGAAATTTAAGTCTTTCCATCTAATTTTATTCCCATTACTTATTGCCTTCATATAGATTAGGGCAAATGTTTCATTTTTCTGTAAAACAATTCTCAGACTTGCTCTTATTAAGTACTGAGTCTGTTGATACCCTCTCTGAAGCCTTGAACAAGTCCAGATTCTTGGGTCCCTAATCTTTTCCTTGGTTAAAAAAAAAAAAAGTACTGGGTTAGAACGTCTGTCTTTATGCATCCATGGCCAGAAAAGAAATACAAACTGCTTAACATTCTAGGCATATTGTAGATGCTCAAGAAATTCTAGCCTTCTAGACCTTCCCCTAAAAGGTCTGGAAAAAGTCTAAAAGCTCATTGTATTGAGATAAAGACAAAGATAAGAATTGCTGCAATTTCTAAGAACTGAGATGGATTACTTAGTTGAAAACCTATGGTGCCGGTTTTGCTTCAGAATTTGCTTTCATTCTTGAAATTATCAATGTCATAAGACCATCCCCGGTGACTGCTAATGCCATTCTTGCTACGATCTTTAAAAAGTACAGTTTGTGGTTTTTTTTGTATTAGTGGTTCTGCAGTGTTAGCTCACATTCTAGGCTTACTGTGTGGGCTCCGGCACTGGGCCAATAATCTAACCATCAAGCAGGGTAAAATAAATACAAGCAACAACTGTCTTGATAGAATTTTTAACTTAATTTTTGAAAACGAACTTGAAAACAAAGGCTGAGAAGCCCAAGGCAAAGAAGCCTCAAGCAGAAATGTCACCGCAAATAACACCGTTGCTAAGGCAAGTGTTTCAGGAGTAGTTAGATTAGTAACTATGACCTTATATCAAGGGCAGGGTATCCCAAATAAAGGGTATACAAATTTGGGTAGTGACTTAGATGTTAAAGGCAGTATCTTCCTATGCAGAAGGAAGCAATTTAAAGCAAAATCTGATTTTCAAAGACCTGACTGGGGTAGAGAGCAATTTTAAAGAACATCTCAGGGATATGACAGTAAAAGACTGGGAAACTCTCAAACTCTAAAGGACACATAGCCTGGTTTCTTCAACAAAAAGTAATACAAGAAATAAAAAACTATGAAAGGGGAACCTGTATGTCAAAAGAAACTCAAGAGAGATATTAACCAATTGCAATGTGTGAACTTTATTTAGGTGCTTACTCAAAACCAACTGCTAAAAATATTATGCTAATTTGGGAAATGTAAGTACTGACTGGTTTAAGGAAATACTGTTAACAAAATTATAAGACATTCTGCAGCACAGATTTGATGCCACAGGCTTGAGGCCTCTATCTTTAGAAAAGTCTGCTTGGGGGCGCCTGGGTGGCTCAGTTGGTTAAAGCAACTGCCTTCGGCTCAGGTCATGAGATCCCGGGATCGAGTCCCGGGATCGAGTCCCGCATCGGGCTCCCTGCTCAGCGGGGAGCCTGCTTCTCCCTCTGACCCTCCCCCCTCTCATGTACTCTCTCTCATTCTCGCTCTCTCAAATAAATAAATAAATCTTTAAAAAAGAAAAGAAAAGCCTGCTTGCCAGGTTGGCCCTTGGATGGCATCTGGCAATTTGGATTTCTGCAGCGGTCCTGCCATTCCCAGAACTGAAATGAGGTTAGCACTTACCGCACCTACCTGTTTGTACAGGCAGTGTGGTTTATGATGAACACCTGCTTTCCCTCTTTGGGTCTAGAAAATTGGTATATGCTAGGCAGAGGGTGCCTCCAATAAAAAATCCCAAACATTTTGTCACAATTTATTGTTGGGGAAATTCAGCGTGTCCTGTGTGACTCCATTGGGGAGAACTCTGGGAAGCTTGTGCCTGGTTTTCTCTGGGCTTTGCCAATGCACCTTTTTCTTTGCTGATTTTGCTTTATAGCCTGTATATGCTGAGTTCTGTGGGTTCTTCTAGCCAATCAATGAGCCTGTGGCTGGTCCTAGGGACCCTTGTATAGGAGTGATATTAGTACAGTGTTGTTGTTGTTGTTGTTTTTAAGAATCCTTATCTTTTAGAAATATATATTAAGATATTTAAGAATAATGGGATAATGTCTGGGATATTTCCTTCAGAATAGTTAGTAGATAGGGGTATGGATGAAACAAGATTAGCCATATATTGATGGGGGAGGTTCATTATTCTAGTCTCTCACTCAGCCTTTGTATGTGCTTGAAAATTTTAATAACTGAAAAAAATAAAATAAAATAAAAATGAAGTCCAGGTGCTTTATTTGACTTAAACTGCCCATTCTTCTTTAGGTTTAGGTTTTTTTGCTCAAAAATTCCTTCAACATATTCCATAGAAGAAAAATTAACATTCATTGAGGTGGGTACTTTTCAAGTATCATGTTTCATTTGTTTACAAAATTCATGTAAGAAAGATATTATAGGTTAATTTTCAAAAAAAGAAATTGATCAAGGCTCAGAAAGATTAAGCAGAAAGGAAGGTAACTAGCAAATGCCAGAGCAGGGACTCCCCAGTAAGAAGAAAAGAAGAATGCAGATATACACTAATAAGTCTTTGAAGATTGGATTCTGGACTCAGAATCAGGAATTATTTCTTGGCTCTACAATTTACCCCTATGTGTTACTTCAACTTTGCTCAAAAAGGTAATTATACAGTACTTTATGGGGTTGTGGAAAGGGTTCAAGAGGCAATATATTTAAAACATTCAGTGCCTGGCATATAAGAGCTCCCTATAAGGTCAGTTATTTACCCTCATCCCTGAAACATGAAAAAACACTAACCACTTTGGGCTCAGACAACAGAGGTTATTTAGAATTATTTGGAGGAGAGGCATACCAAGGAATGATTTTTCTGTGTATACTGTGAAAATATAGGACTCCTAAAAATAAGACACTGATTTGATTTTGCAAGAAATTATGAGCAGTCAGGCGCAGCAGAAAAAACACACACAGAACCCACAGACACATACAACTCTGTGACCCTACTCCAAGCTACCCAAATATTCCTTAATAATACTATTTCAGGTACTGCTATTTGTACTTCTGTATACTAAGTCCCATCCCACATGTAGAAACTTGGTTTACATACAGAGAATTGGTGTCCGGTAGAGCTGAATGAGGAGAAAATTGAACAGCCTTGAAGGAAGTTAACTTTATACCTAACTGCTTTGAGTTGGCAACAGCACTGGAAACATCACATAATTCACTCTGCAGCCCTGTATATGGAAATACATAATGAAAAATGTGGGTATTTTATTTGAAAGCACAAAAAGGAAATTTGTAGCAGTATTTTTGTACTAAGTATCATCAATGTCACCAGTTTGCCACCTTGTATTATCTTAACCTCTACATATTTATATATGAATTATTACAGCTACTCCTGGCCTGATTTTCAAACATTGTGTGGGATTTTCAAATCCCCATCATGTTGTTTCTCACAATCATGATCTTCCATGAACATTTCTGATGGGAATATCCCTTAGGAATTTGGAATTGCTTGTGGGATTTTCCTGATTTTTCTGACTTCTCAGACTGATCTTAAACTTCTTAAAGAGAAATTTTATAACTCTAAAAGTCTACAATCTACCATACAGCTGGAAGCATAAAAGAGCTCAGATTTATCTGGCATGGCATTCTGACTTAAAGAGTCTTCCAGCCTCTTGCCTAGATGCCCATTTCAGAAATATCAAGGTATAAATTTAGTGTTGGTGAGATTTATCCTAAACTTGACTCATTTGGATCCTGCTCACTTATCACAGCTATACTGTGTTATATATAAATCTTTATTCAGTTCTTGTATGTAAAGCACTGTGCTTCGCCCTGCATCACCGTGAGACCCAAGCATGGTACGGTCTCTGATAGAGCTTGCCGCATGGCATGTTAGCTTCTGTTTAGTTAGAACTGACTTGCTCTGCTTCTCCAAAATCCTATCGGCTCTATCTTTTCCAGTCTAGGTCCTGATTAATTGAATCCTCTGGAAATTGACTTTCCCACTTCCATCCATATCTAAAAGCTTGTTTCCTCCTTCCAGTAAGTCACTTCCTCTTGAAGAATACATGAATACATGAATAGGAAGTCATGTTGAATAGAGTCTGATATCTGAGGCTTGGCTCCTTTCAGGGAGTGAAGTCTAAGAAAAGATAAGCAGGTCTTCAAGTTAATGCTATTAAAAAGTATAGATGCTGTGGCTAGAATCCCATATTATAACCCTAATTACATCAAAGTAATTCAAGAGACTATGAAAAAAAAGAAAAAACAGCTCATGCTAACAAAGGGTATAGATGGTAGTTCAAACAAAATTTATTTTTCTTAAATTAGACTGAACTAATTCTTTCTAAAAGTCAGACTAACATTTCTTTAAAAAAGACTTTTTTTAAAAAAGATTTTATTTATTTGAGAGAGAGAGAGAGGGAAAGCATAAGCAGGCGGAGGGGCAGAGGGAGAGGAAGAAACAGACTCCCCACTGAGCAAGGAGCCTGATGTGGGACTCGATCTCAGGACCCCGAGATCATGACCTGAGCCAAAGATAGATACGCTTAACCGACTAAACCACCCAGGTGCCCCTTAAAAAAACTTTTTAAATTATAAGATGTAGCAGAGAAAACTGCATAAAACAAATGCATAACCGGGGCGCCTGTTTGGCTCAGTCAGTTAAGCGTCTGTCTTCAGCTCAGGTCATGATCCTGGGGTCCTGGGATTGAGCCCCACATTGGGCTCTCCGCTCAGTGGGGAACCTGCTTCTCCCTCTCCCTCTGGCTGCCGCTCTCCCTGTTTGTGCTCTCTCTCTCTGTCAAATAAATTAAATAATTAAAAAAAATGCATGACTTAATTATTACATATTTTAACTACTACTAAAGCCACAAAATAGAAATTTACTAACCATCTTCTATTTACCATTCTCCTAATCACAATTCCCTCACTCTCCACTAAAAATAACCACTATCATAATTTTTATGACAATCACATCCTTGTTTTATTATGCAAGTGTGAGTTCTTAAACATTATAGTCAGATTTTGTCCACTTTTTGTCTGGTGAATCTTTTAATCTACCGGTTTTCTTTCAATGCCTACCCCCCTTTTAAAAATTCTTTCCATTTATTTGTTAAAGAATCCAGTTTGCTAGGTAGAATTTCCATAGTTTGGATTTTGTGGGTGATCTCTCCATGGTTTGTTGACCATGTCCTTCTGTCCCTTGTATAGATTACCATTTTAACAAATGATTTTCTTCTTGCTCACAGAAGGAACTTTCACTAAAATTGTCCTACCTTTGTCCACCTTACCTCCTTAGAAAGGGAGGAGTTGCTAATTGCATAAGACAGAACTCAGACCATTTATTGGACCACAGCTAATTGGACTATAGTACCAGCAAAGCAGGCTTCTGAAATTTTTAGGTTAGTGCTCATGTCAACAAGCTCTCTCATGTCCATACAACCAGTAGTGAACAAAAGAGCCTGGCCCATCTGGATAGCTGTATACTTTTTCATTCCCTGTCCTCTCATGGCCAACGCAGAGTTTGGCTCTTCCTAGTGGGTTAGTGGGTTAACCCTGATTTAATATTGTTTATTGATGGCTCTTAGATTAAAAATGACAAAGGCTTCCCGTGCAGAGTGTGCTATTGCTCTGAATACCCAGCACTGAAGTAGATCCATTGCCTAATTTTTAGTCTATCCAGGCAGCCCAACCAGTAGCTCTGTGGTGCAAGATAAAAGATTGGCCATCTTTATGGCAGTAGTTGTCTTCTGGAGTTGTTTATGATTTGGAGATCTTATGGGAATAACACTTTTTAGGTGCTCTGGTTAAAAAGAGTAAAGATACTGATGACTTCTTAAAAGCTATTCAATATTCCAAGGATATTATAGTTCTTACCAGAGAAGCCTATAGCCAAGCGGCCACATCAGAAGCCAAAGGTAATGCCTACAACTGATTACATGCTAAATAAGGGGTCTTTACCACTCCAGCTATTTTAGGCACTATTAAGTCACATCTGTCCCCATCTAACTTCAGGAAGGATGACTGTGTCAATTTCAATGACTATGACTGACTCATGACTAACAGCTCAGCCTGCTAGGGAAAAAAAATACTGGCAATTAGGGATGTTCTCTTCCTAATGATGGCTGCAGGTGATTTGAGGAGAGTAGGCCTCTAGCACCACAATCTATCCAATTATTGCCACGATTTTTCACACCAAGGAAGAGATATAGTTATTTCCACATTAGAGTAATAACGGTGAGAAAATTTTCCTAGTTTGGCTAAGTGAGTGGTAGAACCATGTCTCACGTCTAACCAGCATAACTGGGGTAAATCTGTAAAAGTCAGAGACAGTTTAGAACTTCCACTATAACAACTTTGTGAGCATTTCCAAACGGATGTGATAAAAAACCCCAAGTCTTTAGTTTATACATATGCATTAATCATCATTTGCCCGTGAGAGGGCTTGTAGGAGGGCTTCAGCTGTTTGCTGCTGAAAAAAATTACCAGACTTTGTATTTCTAGCATGGGGGACCCTGCCTTCCTATCAAATGATCAAGGAACTCACTTTCAATGCAACAGTTAAAAATAGGAACTTCATTGACTTCACCACCCCCCCACCAATCATCACGAAAAGTTGAAAAAGTGATACACTGAAGCTGAAGTTGTCCATGCACACTATCAGAAACTCTTAATGTAATTCCGTCTTGGCCAAAAGTTCTTCCACTAGCATTGATAACCATGCAATTATCTCCTTGGATCTCAAATATACTCTTATCTCACTAAATCATGTCAGGATATCTGATGCAGATCAGTTAGTTACCTCTTTCCAGAATCACCTGCTTCAGAAAGAAGAAAAGACCTACCTATTGGCTTAAGTTAGAGTCACCTTAAAAGTTTGTGACAAGAAATGATTAAGAGTAATAAAGAAAAAATATGCTGTGATACTCACTGATATTACAATAACAGTGTGTGGGGGGGATGTCACTTGAAAGCAGCCCTATTTATTTATTTATTTATCTATCTATCTATCTATTTATTT